CTGCAGTAGTTGTGGGGTGCAGCAGCAGCATTTGCTGCAGTGCTGATTGTACTACCTGCTGCATCTTTGCTGCAGCAGCTGCTGCTTCTTGCTGCTGCTGCAGCTGCTGCAGGTTCTGCTGCTGCTGCTGGGGTGGGGTGCAGCAGCAGCAAGAGAGAGCAACAGCAGCAGCAAATAGACGAGCAGCAGCAGCAGACATATGTTTGCTGCAGATATAATGCTCAATAAATTGGCATAATTCATCAGCAAAAGGCAGCAGCACTGCTGCTGCTGCTGTTGCTGCTGCTGTTGCTGTTGTTGTTGCTGCTGCTGCTCCTAGCTGCGCATACACCTCAACTATCTCGCAAACAGTCTCTACTGCTGCTCTCTCTAAATCCACCTGCCGCAGCCCCACACCTGCAGCAGCAGCACCAGCAGCAGCAGCGTGCTGCTGCAGCATATCTGCTGCTGCTGCTGCTGCAGCAGCAGCAGCAGCAGCATTACGCTGCAGCAGCAAATGATTAATAGGCCTAGTTATATTATTATTTGCTGTTGCTGCTCTTTGTGTTATATCCAACATACCCTCTAATACTAAACGGCAACGACCTTCTAGTGTATCTGCTGCTGCTGCTGCTGCTGCTGCTGCTGCTGTTGCTGTTGCTGCTGCTGCTGCTGGTGTGCTGCTGCCTTGCATGCATACGGGGAACTGCAGCACAGCAGCAGACATTGGAGATATCATGCTTAGCCACATCGGCACTGATACTGCCTCTCCCCTGCTGCTGCTGCTGTTGCTGCTGCTGCTGCTGCTGTTGCTGCTGCTGCTGCTGCTGTTGCTGCTGCTGCTGCTGTCCTCAAGAGAAAGGCGACTTAGGAGTGCTGCGCTGTACTCAAAGGGCAGCAGCAGCAGCTCTTGTGCAAAGCGCCAGGCACCTCTGTGCTGCTGCTGCTGCTGCTGATGCTGCTGCTGCTGCTGCTGTGCAAGAGCTAGGATAACTGCCTCATGTGCTGCTGCAGCAAAACAGCGGAATAGCTGCTGCTGCTGCTGCGTAGGGGAGAGCTGTAGTGTAGATCCTATGCATAGCTGCAGCAAATCATCATCGCTACTTCTTGTCTTTGCTGCTGCTGCTGCTGCTGCTGTTGCTGCTGCTGTTAAGCAGGGCTGCGGCCTGCTGTGAACAGCAGCAGCAAAAAGCATCGCACAGGCATGTGCTGCTCCTGCTCGCAAACGCTGCTGCTGCTGCTGCTGCTGCTGTTGCTGCTGCTGCTGCTGCAGTGGCAAGACACCAGCAGCAACTGAAGACAGCAGGGAGCAGCAACGAGCAGCAACAGACGCAAGTGCAGCATGGCTGCTGCAGCACCACAGCAGCAGCCGCTGCAGCACCTGCCTCTCTCCTTCTGCAACAGCAGCAGCAAACCACATCGCCACAGGCTCCAGCTGCATCTCCGTGAACTGTCCGTGCCAGAATGCATGCATTGGCTGCTGCTGTTGCTGCTGCTGCTGCTGTTGCTGCTGCTGCACTGCAGCAGCAGCAACAGAGCTGCTTCGAATAGGGATGCAGAGAGGGAAATCGAGGGAGGCCTCTTCTATAGCCCTCAAGGCGTTTTGCTGCAGCAGCAGTTGCTGCTGCTGCTGCTGCTGCTGCTTCTGCAGCTGGTGCTGCTGAGAGTTGTGCTGCTCGAGGTTCTGCTGCAGCGGCGGTGCTGCTGCTGCTGCAGGCACGAAGACCTCTGCTGCTGCTATGTTTATATTTAAGTATAGCGCAATTGCTGCCCCTCTGCTGCTGCTGCTGCTGGTAGCAGCAGCAGCAGGAGCACCTGATGGAGAAGGAGAAGGAGCAGCAGCAGCAGCAGCAGCAGCAGCAGCAGTGAGAAGGGCCTTGCGGAGTTTTAAAAGTCCTTCATGAGGTGCAGCAGCAGCAGCAGCAGCAGCAGCAGCAGCTGCTGCTGCTGCTGCCAATAAAGCAACTAAGCTGCTGGTAGTTCGAACAACTTCTGCTGCTGCTGCTGCATCCTGCAGCAACGGGGGCGGCCCACCAGAGGCCATCTGCTGCTGCTGCTGCTGCTGCCAATGTTGCTGCTGCTGCTGCTGCTGTGTTGCCAGGGCCAGATGAAGCACACTAGCAGCAATGTCATAAATGTATCCGCGTGGCTGCTGCTGCTGCTGTTGCTGCTGCTGCAGTTGCTGTTGCTGTTGCTGCTGCTGCTGCTCTGACGAGCAGCAGAAGACGAAGGCTGTGTCAGCAGCACGTGAGGAGAGAAGACGCTGCAGCAGGTGCGCAGCAAAACGGGCTTGTGTGCATGCATGCAGTAGCGGCATTTGCTGCTGCTGCTGCTGCCTGCTAGGATAGGTGCTGCAGCAGATGCAGCACACAGTCTTTGCTGCCTCTGCGCATTGCAGCAGCAGCAAACGGCAGAGTTGTCGCTGGAGGCTGCTGCTGCTGCTGTACATACCTCCTGCTGCAGCGAGACAATTCCCCGCTGCTAGCTGCTGCTGCTGTCCAGGAGCAGCAGCAGCAGCAGCAAAGGATATATGTTCCGCCTTTGCTGCTGCCTCTGCCAACAGCCATAATCCCCTACACTCTCGTGGCCTTAGCAGCAGCAGCGGCAGCACCTGCTGCTGCTGCTGCTGCTGCAGCATGCTGCTGGATGGGAGGGCAGCAGCAGGTGCAGCAGCAGGAACAGAAAGAAGGGCGCTTATACTTAGCCTTCCTGCTGCAGCAAAGCCTGTTGCTGCTTCCTGCTGCAGCTGCCGCAGGAGCTGCGTGGCGTACTGCGGAGGTGCAGCAGCAGCAGGTGCTGCTGCTGCTGCTGCTGCTGCTAACAGCACTGCCAACGGGCTCTGCTGCTGCAACGGGTGCTGTAGCAGCTGCAGCAGCTGCTGAAGCTGCTGTTGCTGCTGCTGCTGCCCCTTTACCGATGCTGCTGCTGCTGCTCCTATCATTTGCTGCCATTGGCTGCATGCCTTCGCTAGATGGCGCGAATCCGCCGCAGCAGCAGCAGCAGCAGCAGCAGCAGAGTTACCTGTTGGTACTGCTGCAGCAACAAATGCATCTGCTGCAGCAAGCAGGGCACCAGGAGAGGTCGCAGGAGCAGGAGGAGCAGCAGCAGCTGCTGCTGCTGCTGCAGCAACGAGAGGAGGCCCTCCTAGCCAACAATTCAACGAGACGCGCAGCAGCAGCACGGCTTGTTCTGCTGCTGCTGCTGCTGCTTGTGCTGCTGCAGCACCTGTTGCTCCTAGTGTTGTTGCCTGCATCCCTTCTGCCGTTGCTGCTGCAGTGACAGCAGCAGCAGCAGCAGAGGCTGTGCTGCAGCAAATAAAAGCTGCTGCAGCAGCAAGAAAGTTACTGTCTATTGGCGGCAGCAGCACAGCAACAGACCTTGCAGAGAACAACGCAACAGCAGGATGCCCGCTGCTGCTGCTGCTGTTGCTGCTGCTGTTGCTGCTGCAGCTGTTGCTGCACGTAGGGCTGCTGCAGGCAAGGGTGCAGCTGCTGCTGTGAGGCTGCAGCAGAAGTTCTGCTGCAGCAGGACATTGGAAGCCTGCTGCTGATGGAAACCTCGCTGCTGCCGCTGCTGCCGCTGCTGCTGTTGCTGCTGCTGCTGTTGCTGCTGCTGGGGGCTTGGCTGCGTGCAGCAGCAGCAGCAGCTGTAGACAGAAACCCACAACTGCAAAGACACCAGAGAGCAGCAGCAGCAGCAGCGGGAAGTCAAGGATCTGCTGCAGCAGCAGCAGCAGCTCGGGGCTCAGCCGCTGCTGCAGCAAAGACACATCCACCACCAATCGGAGAGAGCTGCTGCTGCTGCAGAAGCTGCTGCTGCTGCAGCAGCGATCAGCCTGCAAGGTAACGCGGCAGGGACTCGCTGCTGCTGCAGGGGCGGCAGCAGCAGCAGCAGCAGCAGCACGAGCAGCAGCAACTGGCGGCAGCGCAAAGGCTGCAAGAAGATGCCGCCGAAGGGCAGTCCCGAAGAAGCTGCAAGCTGCTGCTGTAGCAGCAGCAGGTGCAGCAGCAGCCGCTGCAGGTGCAGCAGCAGCAGCAGCAGCAGCAGAGTCCTGCAGTACAGTGGGCTCTTGAGGGAGGACTGTGCTGCAGCAAATGCAGCAGCAAATGGATTGTTTTGCTGCAGCAAACCTCTTCAGCTGTACATACACCTCAGGAGGCACCTGGCTGCTGCTGTTGCTGTTGCTGCTGCTTAGCATGCCTAGTTGCGCTGCTGCTTGCTGCAGTGCTGCTGCAGCAAATCCTCCTCTTGCTGCCTGCAGCAATGCTTTACTTGCTTCATCAGCAGCCGCTGCTGTCGCTGCTGCTGCAGCAGGTGCAGCAGCAGCAACAGGAGCAGCAGCAGCAGCAGCAGCAGCAGCAGCAGCAATAGAGCTGCCTTCTGGTTGTTCTGCCTCTCCCTCCGGCTGGGAGCCTTCTGCTGCTGCTGCTGCTGCTGCTGGCATTTCGCCACCTCTTTCTTACTACTACTTTAGATTAATTTGTTTTGCTGCTGCTGTTTGCTGCCGTTGCTGTTGTTGCTGCTGGTGCTGCTGCTACTGCTGTTGCTGCAGTTACCTGTGTTGTTGCTGCAGGAGCGGGCTCTGTCGCTGCTGTTACTGCTGCTGCTGTTGATGTACCCTATGCGTCAGCAACTGCTGCTGCAGCAATTGCTGCTGCAGTATACGTGCTGCTGCAGCAGCTGCTGCAGCAATTTCTGCTGCTGCTGCAGCCGCGCCTGCAGCAGCAGCAGCAGCTGCTGCTCTTGTGTAGATCTATAAAGGTATTAATGTATTTGTGTTTTTATTAATTAATAAATTAATAATATAAAACATTGCAGCAGCAGCAGCAGCAATAGCAGTAGCAGCAGCAGCAGCAGGGCTTGTCTTGCTGCTGCTGCTGGCCCCACACCCATCGATGATTAAGGATTTAGTGTTTAGGGTTTAGGGTTTAGGGTTTAGGGTTTATTTATATAATTGATTTAATTGCTGCAGCAGCAAAATATTTAATATCTGCTGCAGCGCTATTTTTGCTGCTGTTGCT